ACTAAAGTCCCCTTATGCAGTACATAATCTTATCATTCATTCCACTCCTAGAAAATATTTATCAAAAACGCAAACACAATTGTATCCAAATAAATATGCAAAAATGTTCTTAGTAGTCTTATTTGCAATTTAAAGCTGAAAAATGTGTACTGTTGTTAGAATGTTTAAATAATGGTTTATTTATCAAAATAAGAACAATTTTTACATTAAATAATATAAGTAAATTCCCAAAAATACTATGTTGACAAAGAAGATTGACACCAATGAAGAACTAGAGTAAATGGCCCATTGTATAGACTTTACAAAGAGTCACAACTACTCTAAAACACTAGAAAGCAAAGTGGGCATTACCCTTGCTACTATGGGACAGACAGCAATTGGATTGGGGCATAAGTGTCTCCTTGGTGTTAATATAGTTTATGTTTAATCTTAATGCACATCTATGTTTGATATCCTTCAATTAAAAAATCCAAAAGCATCTTAGTGTAATTGAGGTAACTTGTTTGATGACATTTCCTTCTGGTTTTAGTGGTTACCATCTGACTGGTTGCAGTAAGAAATTATGCTTAAAATTACAATAAAAATGAAAACTCTAATATATACCAAGGTGAAGGAAACTGGTTTTGTGTGCCTCAATTTTCAGTTTCCTGAAATAAGGGATAAGGGGGTTGAAGTGAAGAGACTTCAAAGTTCTTCTAGATCTAAGTATCTATGAAAGACTCATCACTCTCAAATATATTCACTCCAAACTTCAGATCTCAAAGATCTGGGTTTTTTTCCTCCTATTCATAATATAGAAGCATCTGCTTCATGCTGCTTTTTAAAAATCGAGGTCAAATTTGCATATGGTGAGAAGTGTCACATCAATTAAAATAAAGGACATTTCTATTATCCTGAAGAGATTTTTTTACGGTCTCCTTTCAGTCAATCATCAGTCCCATAGGCAATCACTGTTGAAGTTTCTATGATCATATTTTAGTTTTACCTGATTTTGAACTGCTTAATAATAGAATTAAGCAATAGTTGTATGTGTTATGTCTGACTTCCTCTGAGAATTAAGTTTTCAAGATGCATCCATGCTACATTTTGTATCAGTATTTTATCGTTTTAAAAAGTAAACTTTTTTCTCATGATGAATCTTTTTTTTTCTTTTTTAAAAAATTTATTTATTTTATTTGAAAGCAAAGTTACAGAGAGAGAGGAAGAGACAGACAGAAAGAGAGAGAAACAGAGAGAGAGATCTTCTGTCTGCTGGTTCACTCCCCAAATGACCACAACCATAGAAGTTGGGCCAGGCCAAAAGCAGGAGCCAAGAGCTGTTTCCTGGTCTCCCATATGGATTCAGGGGCCCAAATACTTAGGCCATCTTCCGCTGCTTTCCCAAGCATGTTATCAGCGAGCTGGATCAGAAGTGGAACAGCCAGGACTCAAACCAGTGGCTATGTGGAATGCCAGCAATTCAGGCAGTAGTTTAACCCACTAAACCACAATGCAGGCCCCAATATTTATTGTTTTTGACTGATGATTTATTTAATTGATTGCTCCATTATCAAGCATCATGTGTTTATTTAAACATCTGGCAATGTTCATATTTCTGTTGGCACATCCTGTTGTTTATTATTTAGTGTCATAAATTAAATTGTGATAGTGTTTATTAAATAACTTTGGAAAAGGTAAAGCAGAGTGCAAAACTGCCTGAAATTAACGTGGTTCAATTTTCCCTGTGGAAACAAATCCTGGCAATATGTCAAACTCTTAAAGTGATTGTAGATTCCTATTCTAGAAGGCTTCTTCGCTTTCCTCCCACAATTACTCTCATTTTCCCCTTTCTTTCCTTCCTGCTTCTTTTCTCCTTCCTTCTGTCCCTCCTTCCTTTTCTTCCTTCACTCCTTGCTCCATTCCTCTCTATGTTCTTTCCTACTGTACTGTCTTGTCTTCTTCCTTCCTCTTCCTCCATCCTTTCCTCCTCTTCTCCTGTGTTTAAGTGTTTCTCTCTTTCTTCTGTCTTTCCTCCTTCCTACTCTCTTTCTCCACTGTGCCAGGATCAAGTTACTCAGTGATAAATGAGACTTGCCTGTGACCTCAAGCAGCTCACAAAAACCTTCTAAAAGTGATCTATCTACGCTGTGTATATGTGTTGAAATATTGTACTGTACCCCAAATGTGTAAATATCACATACTAATCCAAAATTTAAAAAGTAATTTTAAAACTAAATCTAATAACTTTTAAAAATAAAAGACAATTAGAGAGTTCACAGATTACTATGAAGAAAAACAAAAAAATCAAACAAACAAAATATTGTTCCTTGACATTCAAAGCAAGGGCTATTCAAAATCAACACATCTCAAAGTGACAGTTTCACTCCCATAGATTATGTTTTAGGTACTCTATTAGTTACCACAGATCAGAGAGACCATATGGTATTTGTCTTTTATTGACCGGCTTATTTCACTAAATATAATGGTTTCCAGTTGCTCTCTAGTTAGTGTAGGGTTAATTTTATGAGTATAAAAATTAACTGAAAAATTGGTCTCTGTGAAAGATAAGAGTGGGAAAGGAAGAGGGAGGAAGAAGAAAGGTGGGACTGTGGGTGGAAGGGAGGAAGGGTGGGAAGAATCATCATGTTCCCAAATCCGTATATATTAAATGCATGAAGTCGCATTCCTTAAACAATAAAATAATAAAAAAGACAATTCTATACAGAAAACTCAATGATAGGCACTGTTTTTACTATTATTATTCATTTGTGAGGCAGAGTTATAAACACAGAGAGGGCGAGACAGAGAGAGAGGGAAGGAGGTCTTCCACCCACTGGTTCACTCCTCAAATGGCTGAAATGGACAGAGCTGAGCTGAACTGATCAAATCTAAGCCAGAAGCCAAGAGTTTCTTCTGGGTCTCCCACAAGGGTGCAGGGGCCCAAGCACTTGGGCCATCTTCCACTGCTTTCTCAGGCCATAGCAGGAGCTGGTTTGGAACGGGAGCAGCCGGGACAGAAACAAGCGCCCATATGGGATGCTGGCACTGCAGGCATAGGCTTAGCTTACTATGCCACAGCACCATCCCTCAACAGGCACTGTTGTAAGCTTCTTTAATGTCCACAACAACAGTCCTATGAGTGGAGTGACCTTGATGTATATTGTAAAAGGTAGGGCCAGTTAGGTGATGAGAAGGAACAAATGGTCAGGTTATTGGGACAACCGTATAGCAGGTCTGGTGTGAGCAAACTGACGTGTGTCGCCCTAGCCTCTCACTCTAGTGACAGGAAATGAGAAGCAATTCTTGTAGAACTTCTTGGGACACAGCTAGCAAGTGCAGAACCAGGCGTCCTAGATCCACAGACTTCTCTAAACCCTATTCACCTCCTTCATAGATCCTCAGGGATCTATGATCTGGCTCTGATGGGTCCCTGTGGCTTTGACACTTTGTCAGGGCAATGGGACCACAGGTTTCCGTTCTAAGCCCTTGCTGGCGGCAGATGTGCCTCCTTGCCATGCCTCAGTCCCTCAGGGTTGAAAAGTTGCATTCCTTGGACAAGCCTTCTCAAGGACATCCCAGTCTTGTGCTTTCTGCTGGCCTCTTCACAGACTCCAGGGGTCTCTGTGAACAGCTCTCTACTAACTTCTCTATCATGCAGCTCCTGACCCTTTGCTCCCTGGTTATGCTCATTGAGGGTGGGGCCTTCGCTTTTCTTCTTTTAAAAAAAAAAACTTTTCTTTAATAAATATAAATTTCAAAGTACAACTTCTGGATTATGGCTGTTTTCCCCCCATAATCACCCTCCCACCTACAAACCATCCCATCTCCTACTCCCTCTCCCATCCCATTCTGCATCAAGATTCATTTCAATTATCTTTATATACATAAGATCAACTTAGTAAATACTAAGTAAAGAAGATTTCAATAGATTGCACCCACACAGACACACAAAGTATAAAGTACTGTTTGAAGATTAGTTTTACCATTAATTTGCATAGTACAACACATTAAGGACAGAGATCCTACTGAGGAGTAAGTGCACAGTGACCCCTGTTGTTGATTTAACAATTGACACTCTAATTTAGGACTTCAGTAATCACCCAAGGCTCTTGTCATGAGCTGCCAAGGCTATGGAAGCTTCTTGAGTTCACAAACTCCTATCTTATTTAGACAAGGCCATAGTCAAAGTGGAAGTTCTCTCCTCCCTTCAGAGAAAGGTACCTCCTTCTTTGATGACCCATTCTTCCACTGGGAACTCACTCACAGAAATCTTCAATTTAGGTCATTTTTGGCCACATTGTCTTGGCTTTCCATGCCTGAGAAACTCTCATTGGCTTTTTAGCCAGATCTGAATGGGTGGGGCCTTTTCTCTTCTTGGGTTGTATATCAGCATTGTGTAGCAGGCACTCAAAAATAATTTTGTAAAATAAATAAATAAAAATCAAAACAAAACAAACAAACTGGTGTATGAGCTTGCAGCCTAGCACTGCTACTCGGACTTTTTTTCTGTATTGGGCATTTACTCACTGTTCCTGTATTAACCTTCCCAATACAGACTGTGCACTCCATAATCTCTTCAGTGGCTGCTGAAATCAAAGATAAGTGTATATAGTACATTCCTCTACTCATAAATCTTTAATGAATCCCTACTACTTAAAAAGGGTTACAATTTTTAAAGATTTATTTATTCATTTATTTAATTGAAAGGCAGAGAGAGAGAGAGAGACAGAGAGAGACAGAGATCTTCCATCTGCTGGTAGACTCTCTAATGGCCAGGGCTGTATCAGGAAGAAGCCAGGAGACCAGAACTCCACCCAGGTCCACATGGGTGGATGGATCCCAAGAACTTGGGCCATCACATACTCCTTTCCAGCACAAGAAGCTGGATCAGAAGCAGAGTAGGCAGGAGTCAAAACAACACAATCATATACTATACAGATGCCCCAAGGCATGGGCTAAATTCCCCGTGCTACAACACAAACCTCAAGCAAGTTACAATTTTTATGTGATGAAAAGCTACCATGCTCGCTTTGGCAGCACATATACTAAAAATTGGAAAGATACAGAGAACATCAGCATGGGCCTTGAGCAAGGATGACACACAAATTCATGAAGTGTTCCATATTAAAAACAAACAAACACACACACACACAAAACCAAACTACCGAGGTCTTAATTTCCAATATTTTTCTCTGGCAGAAAAAAATAAAATGAAAAAATCAACAACGAAAACCAAGATTCTTTGGATAAATGGCTGATTTCAGGTCTGTTGCAAGAAATATACAAGGTGGCCTGAAGCATTCTGTAATACCAGTAAGTGCCTAAAAAACAAGCTGATAAAGATAGGAAACAGCAGCCACCCAGAAGAGTTCCTAACAGCCACCACTGGAATCATTTGAGAAATCAAATAAATCACATAGTGTTGCATAATAGGCATGTTAGAAAATAAATGCATGTATGGCCACTCCGATTTAAGCCCAGGATTGAATAAATAACTAATTGAGGAAAATAGACAGATTTCCCAGATAGAAGCATTCAGAGTAATTTATGTCAGCACTGCCCCCACCATGGCAAGGAAACATAACTCTGCAGCCTTAAGTGTGCCCTTGCACAGACTCAGTGTGGAAAAAAAGAGGAGGAAAGAGGCTTGTGAGTTAATGAGTTAATTAATTAAACAGTACAAAAAGTTACATAGCCAAAGCCACTTCGATTTATCCATCTCCACTTCATCTCCTTGAGATGACAACCAGGGATGAATCCAATCTCAAATTTTCTTTTTCTCTTGCAAATACCTAAAACCGTGTACACATACAAGTAAGTTTTACAAAAAAATACAAAACCACATTTACACATTGTTAGCACCTTGCCTTTTCATTTAGCTGTGTTCTCAGGGCTCATAGTGGGCATGACTCCATGTGAAACAGTCTCCTTCCCTTTCATCTCCAGGGCAACCTCCCTCGCGTGTATACCTGCACTGCTCCCCATCCCACCTTCCAAGTCAGTGTCAGCAATCTGCAGTTTTCCCTCTGCTCTCCTTAGTATATAAACGCATTTATAGATGTCTATAGGAAAACAAACAAGAGCTATTGTCGCAATCCTGGTCAATGATTATTTTACCAAATAGTATTTCATTATGAATTACTTCCCTATATATTATATTAGTTACTCAATAATACATCATGGAAATTCCTCAAGGAAACTGCTTACATTGTACAGGCATTGAACAATATACTTCGGTATAGATATCTATTATTTAGTTTACTCTTTGAGAGGCACTACCTTTTATTTCCAGTAACTTGATGTTGCAAATAATGTATGACAAGTATAGTGGTATATGCTGGCATATCCTAATACAATGACACATTTATTTCCATGGGAGAGACGTCTGGAAGTGGAGGTGCTCAGCAAATTCATATGTAATTTTAGAGGAAATAGCTTTTTCTAAACCACTTTCTGAAAGAGTAGGAGTGATGTGTACATCTGTCAGCAAAGGGTGTTGTGGGTCTCTTTGGTTTTTCCAGTGGGATGGATTTAAAGGATAGCTTACTTCCTTTAGTTTGCATTTGCCTTTCCCCTAATGAATCTGAGTCTCCTATCAGCCTGCTGGTTTCTGGAATTCACTGTATTTGGCTATTCATAGAATTTACTTGATTTCCTGTTGAATTGAACAGGTTTTTAAAAGCTTGTTCAATTTCCCAGATACTACTCCTTAGAGGGTAGGGATTGTAATATATTATTTTACTCCAATATCTCTTACCATGTAACAAATAACCTCCAACACATAGCTGGAAATGTAGACGTTGTTCTCTCGTTTGGGTGTGGATGAGTGTCCTCAGGTGAATCTCCTCAGTTTGACTTCACTAGATCTGTGATCCAAAGCCTCATGCTGTCCTTTACCCTGTGTCCCACAGCAGGAACAGTAAGACAAGCATGTGGCAGCCGCAACAAGTTTCTCCCATTCCAACACGTAGGGAACTGGAGGCACCGTAGTCACTAGTCCGTGGTTGGTCTGCAGCCCAGCCCAACACATGGTGTCCTGTAAAGTCTGCACAAGACAACTATTCCTCAGCCCCAGTCCTGCTCCCTGAGGGAAGTTTCCTGCCTCAACATTCTCTGCAGCTACCAACCCCATCTTCTGTAAAATCTGGCCCTGCTTTGAGCTGATTTCTTAGCTTGGTACCTGCTAACAGGTCACAGAAGCTGGAGGCTTCTTCACCTGCAGAATTCTCCATTCCTTCAATTCCGGCTGACACAGCTCCCTTATGAACTTGTAGGATCTCAAATATCAGATTAGGTTCCACTTCTGTGGACATCAGCCAACTCTTCCTGAGGGTCCTCTCTCAGCTTCAGGCAGGGCAGGTTATTACAGAAGCACTATTCTTAAGACTTAAAAAACTCCCATGGTTTCAATGCGGGCATCTGCCAGGGGTCACCTTCAATCTTTCTAAAATCTTAACAAAGGGTCTTGTTCACGATTGGTGTTTATCTTGAGGGTGTTTCTACTTTGACGGTCTTTTGATAGCTGGATCAATTGTACACAACAGTTTTATATTTCCAACCCAGCAATATCTTGGACAATTACATTTTCACTAAATTCTGCTTAGACAAAAAATAAACAGTTCTCTCTTTTGCTCAAATTATTCTTTATCACACTTAACTAAAAACACTCAACTGAAATGTTTTACATTCAGTGTAGAGAGCCCTGTAGCTAGACCTACGTGTAATTAGGTATGTCTTCTATTGTCTGAGTGACAACAATGGCAGTTTTTCCACTTGCCTTGCCACTGTATAACATTGCTCACCCATTGGTCGCCCTCTCAGGCTAGTGTGATTATGGATTTTCGAGCTCTTTCCCACGGCTCTGGTTTGGATGTGATGCTTCAGGTGCTGAAAGGTAGCCCCTGTTGTGGTGAGGTAGGAACACGGCGGCAACTCTATGTGACTGCAAGATTTAGGGCAAGTCCTTTGCAAAATGACTAGGTTTGGATGGAGCATCAGGAGGAGTCTCCATGAATGACCAAATCCTGGTAGTTTTATAACAGGGAGAGAGGCAAGACACAGAAAGACATGCCTTCTCCCTGTCTCTTGTCATATGATGCCTTGAGTTGCCTGGGGGCTCTGCCAGCAGGAAAATTATCATAGGATAAGGCATCTACACCTGACATCTTCAGAACTATAATCAAGAAATATCTTTCTTTTATAAAGCAGCCTGCCTCAGATATTTCATTACAGTGTGAAAAAACGATGGATACATCCACTACCTCTTCTCAGAGCTAGGGGTACCCGGGACAGACATTTGCTCACCAGAATCACTTCTACATTTCTGTAGCAGGTGGTTCTTTCTGTAGAATAAACTACATTTGTCTTAATATTTCTGAAATAATTTTAGTAGTTAATATAATGTTTGGATATATAATTTTCTCTGAATAGCCAATTGTACTGAGGTTTCTGATAAATGGCCATGACAAAACACCAAAGACTGAGAAACTTTTCTTATGGTTCTAAGAGGCTTAATGTCAGACAGAAAGGTGTGGCAGGTTTGATTTCTTCTGAGGGCTCCTTAACCTGCCCAGTAGCTACCTTGTCACTACTTAACATGGGTTCTTCTCTGGGAACTCTCATCCTTGATGTCTCTGTGTGGCCACATTTCCTCTTCTCATAAGAACACCAGCCAGGTTGAATTAGGGCCCCTTAATGGCCTCATTTTAACTTAAGCATCTCTTTAAAAATCCTGAGTCTAAATACAGTCACATTTTGGTAGAAGGACTTAGGGTTTTCACCTATGAATAGGGGAGGGCAGGGAACTCATCTTTTAGTACTCGATTGCTTTTTTACCAATGGGTCTGTAACTTTATTGTAGTATCTTTATATGTACTGTTACCAAGAAATGTAAGCTCTCTTTAGCATATTTTCAAGGTTTCCTTTATAGCATGGATTCCTGTCCACAGACTTTAAAAGCATTTTTACCAGTTAATTCCAACTAAAAATAAACTAACTGTAGTTGAATTGAATGCTTGTATTAACTATGATTTAATTTTGCTTAAGGTAATCTTTGCATCTAGTAGCACAAAAACCACTTGTTTATGTTTGTAAATGTTCTTGTTTAATACTGTGTATTTTTTTCCCAAATAAGTTTCAGGTTTATTTAATAGATGTACTGACAGTATCTATTACATAGATTCCATAGTAGGTGGTATTATTACATAGTAAGTCTAGGAATAGATCACTTCTTAAAAACTAATCAGGCCTTAAGGTATTCGGATCAGGCTAAAAAGCCAATGAGAGTTTCTCAAGCATGGAAAGCCAAGTCACTGTGGAAAAAAAATGACCCAAATGAAAGATCTCTGTGAGTGAGATTCCAGTGCAGAAAAGAGACCAGCAAAGAAGGAGGTACCTTTCTCTGAAGGGAGGAGAGAACTTCCACTTAGACTATGGCCTTGTCTAAATAAGGTCAGCATTTGTCAACTCAAGAGGCTTCCATAGCCTTGGCAGCTCATGACAAGAGCCTCGGGTGATTGCTGAAGTCATAAATAAGAGTGTCAATTGTTAAATCAACAACAGGGGTCACTGTGCACTTGCTACCTATGTAGGACCTCTGTCCTTAATGTGTTGTACTATGTGAATTAACAGTAAAGCTAGTATTCAAACAGTACTTTATATTTTGTGTGTCTGTATGGGTGCAAACTGTTGATATCTTTACTAAGTATAGTAAGTTGATCTTCAGTATATAAAGAAATTAAAAATGAATATTGATGAAGAATGGGATGGGAGAGGGAGTAGGAGATGGGATGGTTTGCGGGTGGGAGGAAGGTTATGGGGGGAAAAACCACTATAATCCAAACAATAAAGGGCATCATAAAAATATCCACAGCTAAAAGCATACTTATTTCACAAATGAAATGACTTCTCCCTAAAACTGAGAAAAGGTAAGCATAATCACTCTCAATAGTCTGTTTAACATTGTTCTGTAAGCCTTTATCAGCGCAGTATGATAAAAAAGTGAATAGAAGGAGTACATTGGAAAGCAAAATATAAAACTGTCCTTCAAAAGCAATATGATTATTTACATCAATACACAGTTATTCTCAAGTGTTGAAACTTAACTGAAAAGTGATCGCTGTTAAATTTA